TCCTCCACCAGTGATCGAACATGCATCATTCTTTGTAAATGAAACTTTTGTTGACAACCATGAATTCTGTCTTCTGACACTAAACAGTTCTTTCTTCTTGCTTTCTATTACTACTTTGTCTCAGATGTCAGTTTCCTTTCCCTATTTAATAGCTTACATTTTTGCTTATCTTTCAGTTTCCTTTCCGAGTCTAGTTCCACATGACATGTTTTTAATGGATGTCAGTTATCAGTTATCACCTGTTAATTTCCCTCTGAAAGTTCTCCACTGCCTTAACCGGGTATTGAACTCACACTCTTTGGGTCCTGTCACTGGATCTAACTAACACCTTTATCCACTGTGCCATGTGTCCTCAAGGATAACTGATAACTGACATCCATTAAACATGGCACGTGGAACTAGATCAGTCTACCCCAGTGAGCGAAATAAAGGGTTAAGTTCGACATTCCAACCACCTGAAGAAGGCTAGAGCATACAACAGCCGAAATGTTGTAATAAATATGGCAACAAAGATGAGGACAATAGTCCGAATAATGTAATTAATGTAATATCTTCCTAGTGAGTATAAATTTTTTGGTCTATTTTTTATTTTTGGCAACTCTGTTCATATTTGTTGAGTAATTATCTATTATAACAACATTTTATATCTAGTAATTCCAGAATTTTGTTTTCTTTGGATGTGTTAATCATTGTTAGACAGAAATTGGATAAGATGCATATGTGAGGGAAGGTGTACACACTTCAGCACAATGTTAAACATTTGAGACCAAAACAGATAATTGATCAAAGGTCACAGGGTCTTTTTCTATGTGTTGTGTCCCTTCAGGACGTGGGTGGTCAAGCTTCTCCACAACTTCCTATCCTTGACACTCTTAGTAATGTTTGTATTTTTACTATCCCCACCCCTCCACTCCACTCCTTGTTCGGCTAAACTTTCTAGGTATGTCACTTGTTTTTCCTGTCGCTTTTGCCTTCAATATGCCCAGTATGTGGAAATTTTTCCAAGCCTTCTTTCCTCATTATGTGACCTATCTTTTTCTGATCCTAAGCAGTTCCTTTTCATTCCCATTTCCTTAAAATTTCTTTGTTTCTTACATGCACTGTCCATGGTATTCTCAGCATTCATCTGTAGAACCACATCTGTTGCCTCGAATCTTCTCTTCATCTGTGACAAAATTGTCAAGCTGAGAAAGACATTATCCCATTTCCATAAAATATTATTTGATTGTCAAAGAAAAAAAAATTGTGTGAAAGATTTTAGATATTTAAAATACAGGCAGCAGCATCATACTTATTTTCAACTAAGCAATGCCTGTTATCCTAGCTGGCATTTCTTGAAACAAAATATAAGACAAACTCTAAATCTTATCTGACTGTTATGGTTGATAAACATTTCCTCAAAATGAAGGAAAAATTGACTGAAAACAAGACTCATACCCAAAGCAATCATTTACATTATGTATAAAACAAAAACAATTTTTGCCAGCTTGAAAAATCCAAAAAGGTAACAGGTTTATTTAGATCTTTCTGTATCTGTCTATATTTCTGAGATGAGGTATTATGTACACTATTTACATTATTCGGACTATTGTCCTCATCTTTTTCGGGATGTTTATCACAACATTTTGGCCGTTGTACACACCGGTCTTCTTCAGTATCCGTCTATATTTCTGAGATTTGGGTAGACTGTTCTAGTTCCATGTGCCATCTCTAATGGATGTCAGTTATCTCCTGTTAATTCCCCTCTGAAAGTTCTTCACTGCCTTAAATGGGTATTGAACTCACACTCTTTGGGTCCTGACACTGGATCTAACTAACGCCTTTATCCACTGTGCCATGTGTATTTCTCTTTTTTTTTTTTATCCCAATGCTTCAGCCAATGTATTAAATGCAATGTAATGAAAAAAAACAAAGATGCTCGTCTGATGAAATTACAGAGTTTAAATGTAAATTATTTTTTACATATCTTTCTTCAGTAAGATCCCTTAATTTTTGCACTATTAAGCTTAACTGAAGCACCCGATAAAGATTGAACACAATGCAATAGAAATGGTTTGCAACATAACCTTGATAACCATTATTTAATCTGACTAAATTCCTCTCTCTTAGAGAAGGAAAAAAAAACTTGCCCAAGCCTTTTTGATGAACACTCAAGTATAATCTTTAACCTGTCAAAATTATTAGAATTTTTATGAATGTCTCTTGACATAACCAAAATTTCTAGAATTATCTCTATTTGCTTCATAGATTCTTTACACCAATGTCCAATTCCAGACTCTTATCATAGGCCATTTCAAGAGAATGCTTTCTGCTGGAAGCCATAATCAATGATGTTCCATCTCCTTTTTCTTAATTGTCTACAATGACGCCACTTTGCACGAAAGTGTAACCAAGATAGAATAAAAAAGAAAAAAGAAAACACCTGACAGGAATATTCCTTGTTCCCCACCCCAACCCTTCCATAATTAGGAAAGTTCAATGAAATGTATGATACCCAAGACTGAAACACTATTTACTCAGAAATCATCTATGGTAGCACACGGTGTACATTATATCGAACATATAAATCTACTTAAACCACAACTGGGCATTGATATGGCGTCTACAACACATTTAAATAGAGGGGGGTCTCTCAGGAAAATGAATCTTTGTGTGTGGAAGATTATAAACTTTGTCATACCTTAAAGAAATACTTCACAATGTTTCAGTTTAGTATACAGATATTTTTCCACAAAGTACGATTGTTTTTGTCAGCGTAAACAGATTCAGGGCAATCTTTTCTTTGTTTTTTCAAATATTAAAATGGATTTATAAAAATAAACAAAGATAATACTCTCATATTTATTTAAATTTCTTTACAAATAAAAATTTTAAACTATTGAATGTTAAAGCAGGTGTTGTGGAGTGATTTCGCAGTGGAGGCTTTTATTTGTACTAAGTCAGTCCGAAAATAGGTTCGACGTACAAAACATTAGGAACTTGATATAATAGGTATAACGCAGAGTAATCTAATTGTGGTCGCTGATACTTTAGTATTCGACTGACTGACCGACTTGTTACTCTTGCTACTCCTACTTATTATCGGTGGGAGAGTCTATTAACTATAGAATAGGTGTGTTCCACTATAACAGCAGGTCAATTTTGGAACCGTGGTTTGACATGATAAATAATGACAAAATATTTTTTTTTCAAATCGTTACTATCTTTTGAGGAAATGAGTTAAAAGATGAAGTTCAGGTTCAAAATTGGAGTGTTGGAATTTAATTCCAGTTATTGGTGAAAGCTTTTTTGCACAGCCTAGTAAAATTTATAATTTATTAAAGGTTTAAAAACTGTATATGAACAGGATGCAATTACTTAATCATTTTGCCATCAAATAAGATCTTCATTTACTTCACAGGAAAATTATACTAAAGAATATAGATATATATTGATGTTATATATGTTATATAAAGTGCAATACTTTTCATGTGATTTTCAATAAACAATGCAAATTTAAAACATTTTATCTTATAATTTGTGTCTAACAGTATTGTGGTGCTATATACAATTATTTATTTTTTGTTTTTATTAATTAGGATATAACAAATCTCATTCACTGAGTAGCCTTTTTTGTAATCTTTTACATTTTTTTTTTTTTTACACATTTCTTATTGAATACAGTAAAAATTTTGCTTATAGTAATTCATAATATTTTCCATTCAATGTATATAATGCAATAGATATCAACCTTATTTGGATTAATTCTTAAAATAGTAAAATTTTGAAGTCAGTTTGTAAGCAAAAACCTGTGGAAATTAAGTATTCCTATACATTTTTTCAGGTGATCTTGAAAATTAAATGCTCAAAAATTGGTAAAAGCCATGAATCTAATTTTTGATACCAGCACTTATCACATGAAACCCCAGCTTTTAAGAGAGTGAAAATGTAAAAAAAAAAAAAAAAAAATGGTGAAAAATCAACCTACCCTATTGAAGACAGCACCTGCAATTCACTTCTGGTATTGAATTGAAATGGTGTCATGCAAAAGATCTTTCATATTGGACAATGGATGAGAGCTAATTATTCCCAGTCAGTAGTCTATTGTGTCTCCTAATATATGCACAACAAAAACTCCTAGGGTGACACATATAAGGAGCACAAGGAAGAAGTATTTTAAGTGTGATGAAGAGTCCCAATGGATGACCTAGTTAGTTAGTTGAAGGTAGACATTGATATTTTTAAATATAAAATAAAACGCATTTCATTTAAAAGGATTTTATCCAAGTAAAATAATATTCTTATAGATGGAATTTTATATATATATATATATATATAATATATATATATATAGAAAGAAGTTGGAAATAAGTGAATTTAAGCAACACTTCTGCATTTTGATCTGTTACAAGTGTCAAATCCTAATTTATGACACTCACCAGTTCTTCATTTAGGTGAATGAAATTGTTACAAAATGACTAAAGCCAGAAGGAAAGTCACATACACAAAGCCAGAAGGAAAGTCACATACACAAAGCCAGAAGGAAAGTCACATACACAAAGCCAGAAGGAAAGTCACATACACAAAGCCAGAAGGAGAGAAAGATGCATGTTATTTACATTGTAGGACTAACACATAAAAAAGAATGTATTCAAGTCTCGAAAAAACTATTTGAATGACCATTTTCTTAACTACCACCCAAACAATTTATCTGTTTTCTATAAATTTCAGTGATTTCTTGACCTTGACTTGATAGGACGATCACAAAATATTACATTTGTCTTTTTCTTCTATATGCTCTTTAGGATATTGGCAATCATAGCTTTCCACACTTCCCTGCCTTTAGTTGAATGAAAATTATCATATATACTCACAGATAGGTTGTACCCTTTGTTGTAGTTGTTAAAGTGGGTATTAGCAGTTGACTCGCAGATAGGTCGCACTATAATCTGGCGAGTTACATGGCTCTTTTTTAATATGAATAAAACTAATATTTATTAAATATTTCCAAATATTCACCTTTACTTCAAAACTTTGCTTATATATATTAAAGCATATGAAAAGTGTTTGTTTATTTCATCAGGACTGAAAACTAAAATTTCTTCTTTGTCATCATCATCATCAGGACTGAAAACCAAAATTTCTTCTTTGTCATCATCATCATCAGGACTGAAAACCAAAATTTCTTCTTTGTCATCATCATCAGGACTGAAAACCAAAATTTCTTCTTTGTCATCATCATCATCAGGACTGAAAACCAAAATTTCTTCATCATCATCATCAGGACTGAAAACCAAAATTTCTTCTTCGTCATCATCATCAGGACTGAAAACCAAAATTTCTTCTTTGTCATCATCATCAGGACTGAAAACCAAAATTTCTTCTTTGTCATCATCATCAGGACTGAAAACCAAAATTTCTTCTTCGTCATCATCATCAGGACTGAAAACCAAAATTTCTTCTTTGTCATCATCATCATGACTGAAAACCAAAATTTCTTCTTCGTCATCATCATCATGACTGAAAACCAAAATTTCTTCTTCGTCATCATCATCAGGACTGAAAACCAAAATTTCTTCTTCGTCATCACCATCAGGACTGAAAACCAAAATTTCTTCTTTGTCATCATCATCAGGACTGAAAACCAAAATTTCTTCTTTGTCATCATCATCAGGACTGAAAACCAAAATTTCTTCTTTGTCATCATCATCAGGACTGAAAACCAAAATTTCTTCTTTGTCATCATCATCATCAGGACTGAAAACCAAAATTTCTTCTTTGTCATCATCATCAGGACTGAAAACCAAAATTTCTTCTTTGTCATCATCATCAGGACTGAAAACCAAAATTTCTTCATCATCATCATCATGACTGAAAACCAAAATTTCTTCTTTGTCATCATCATCAGGACTGAAAACCAAAATTTCTTCTTCGTCATAATCATCACTGTCAAACATTCTTTCCTTTTATTCATTCAGTTCTTCATAACTTCTTCTCTTACTCATGATTATGGTTTGCAATTATTAAAATTTGTAAACAATTGGTATCAGTAAAAATCAGATTGAATTGAGTTTTTGTATAATGGTAGATGACTATTCCACACTGAATAACTGCAAGCAAAACTGTGACTGGTTGTACTTTCATAGGGCTGCTCTCTTTAGATGAAAATTTGGATAATGGTAATCACTTCAGTACTAAAATCACTTGAAAATGATAGTCTTTCATCGTTAATCAAATAAGTATGAACAGTGTAGATCGAGCGCTTTTATTTGATGTCTGACATGGTAATGTTTCAAGAGGTGATTACATAAAATCAAAATGTCAGGGAGAAATTCATTTTCTCCCTTGCTCTCACTTACACAAGCGCAGGGTACTCGCCTGGACTACTGATATGCTACTGTCTATATATTCTCTATGATGTCAAGTGGATAGGCCACACCCCTGATTTTTATCGAAATTTTTAGTGAAAAAAGTGTGACTTATCCTTGAGCTTATACAGTAAATTCTAAAGACTCCTGAGCAGAAACATACAAGGATATCATAGAATATGAACAACATAAATGACAAAGGATGACTTTCAGAAAGAGATTAAGAAAAAAAACAAAATTTTTGATGTTTCTACTTTCAAATACAAAGTACAGATTAGCATATCAATAAAATCGAAGACCAGACAGTGTAAATCTCATTAAGCAAAGGGGGAGGGGAGTCAGAAAAATAATCAGTTTAATGAAGGTTTTTTTTGATGGTGCAATGAAGCCTCAAGAGAATGGCCGACGCTGTTATGGACAGACTCAATCGAAGAAGAAATTCACCAGCAGTGAAACGGAAGAATTTAATACCCAGTTCTTTCTTTAAAAGTTCACAAACTAAAATTATCGAATAAACATGCAAACATCAATTTTAAAAGAAAACAAACTAGAACAAGATTTTTCTAGACTCAAATACACAAAATCTTGCACATATGGTGCCTGGCTACATATCAAATTATTGACAATTTGTATAATAAATTATATAGATATATATTTAAAAAATGTTTTTAAAAATCAATTTGAGAAAAACTGTTGGAGATTTTCCTCTCTGGCTGCCAATAAGAATTGGACATAACCCTAGATTCTCAAAGAACATTGAAAAGCAGATCATTAGAAAATTATACTCAATTTTAGATTCTCAAAGACAACAAATGTAATACAGGTCGTTGTAAAATTATATTTGATCTGAGATTCCCAAAGAACATTGTCAGATATAAAGGAAGTCGCTGTAAGATTGAACTTGTAGAGACTGTTAAGGACTTTGAAGGGTATGATTAACATTCCAAATTTCCTTTGGACAACTGAAATCCTTTCAGTTCTATTAAGTGGAATTGCCTGCATAAATGGTTAGCAGGCATTCTACATTTATATCTGGAATCATTTCTGTCTCTATTCATAAAGATTTTATGCCTGATAACGGTAGGGAAAAGGTCTGGCCACAATATTGTAACAGCATAAATACTAAAAAAGATTTCAATTGAATGAACAGAATTTGAAAAAGAAATAAACATTTAATTTCCTTTTTGAAGAAGAGCTAAAAGAAAATTGTTACCATATATATATATATATATATATATATATATATATATATATCATAATTTTATTTGAGGTACAGAACTTTATTATGGAAATAAAAAAAATAAAACCAATTTTACACTTCATGAAAAAAAAAACTAGCCAACCAGTTTTGCCCTCACTATCTCTCTCTCTCTCTTTATATATATATATATATATATATATACTCCTATTCAAAACAACACGAACATAAAAATTAAACAGTCAAAATATAAGGAAAAACTAACAACACCAAAAACACCTTAAAAATGGCTGAAGAAGTGTCTGAAAGCACTTGGGGTCAATTGAAAATTATGGAAAAATTTAATACTCCTTTACTCTCCTAGAAAATGGAAAAACATAAGGATACCAGAAAAACTAAATAAAAAAAATGAATTAAATCTTCCTTGCCTGCCATATTTAATGAAACATGTTTAAAAGAAACGTTGCTGCTCAAATATACATTTATCTTATTTATATATATATATAGATATATATTATGGAAAAAAAGGTAAAACCAAATTTACCCTTCATGATTATATATTAAAAAAAAAACCATCTGACCAGGTTTCTCCTCACCCAACAGAGCTGGAATCGAGGGAATAAATATTATAATATAAAATATAAAAGACATAATGTGCAATATTAAAGGCAGAATAATCAAGATTAAAATAATGTCAAGTCCTAACAGACACATTCCATCTGTTTAAAGAGGAAGGTCTGTCCGGACCTGACATAAATTGTTTCTAAAGCCTTCAAATGTAAAAGTGAGCAAGCATGACTAGAGATGGTAAAAGAGTCTATACTGAAATTGATGCCACAATTTGGACTTTTTATGAAGTGCTCCATAATGGCAGAACCATACATATTGTTGCCAACGTCACTCAATTAGAATATACCATTCCTAATTTTCTTAGGCACATGCTGATACATTCTACTGTCTAGCTAAAAGATAGTTCTACCTATGTAGTCAGCTCTGCAACTACATTTGAACTGGTAAATCACATTATTACTATGGTGGTGGTAGTGGGGGAGGAGTAGAACATCATTTCAAGTAGACATCCATGCAGACCTAGTGGAAAACAACAGGTACATTAGACGAAAAATAAAACTGCCAAATTTTTCACTTACTGCACCGAGTCAAGGCAAATGAAAATAAATAGGGTATTTAGTAGCCGTACTAAGTTTAACTTCAGAAAATTAAATATTTTCTAACTAATAACTGACCTAATTACATCAAATGGATACCCATTATTAGATAAAGTTTTGGTGATTGTTTCTATCTCTTCATCTAATTTTGACCTCAGCATCCTATATATATATATATATATATATATATATATATATATATATATGCATGTTTCATTAAATAATAATAATGTCTATTTATTCTAAGTAAGTTCCTTTCATATTGTCTGATAAACTTAATCACATTATTGTTGAAAGACAAAAGGAAAACACCATACTGATACATGTTTAAATCCAGTCTAAGCTTTCAGTTTACACAAGCCATTATCAAAGATGACAATTACTTTTCAATATATCAACCAGTACACGGACCAAACAACAATGATAGTCAGCCCTTACTTTCACTCTTGTGTGGTCATGTGTGACATCACGAGCTGCAACGCAATTTTCACTTCCACGTCTTGTATATACGAGTTTGTCGTTACTTGGAAATTTTCATGCAGCAAGGGTGGACTATCATTGTTGTTTCGTCGATGTGTTGTTTGATTTATTGAAATTGATAATAGCTTGTGTAAGCCGAAAGCTTAGATTGGATTTAAACATGTGAAATATGGTTTTCTTTCGCCTTTCAATCGTAATGTTATTAAGGCTATCAGACAATATGAAAGGAACTTACTTAAAATAAATAGACAAAACTTGTCTATATTATTTAATGAAACATGCATTAATGAAAAATTGCTGCCTAAATATACACTATATATATATATATATATATATATATAAAATATAAAATCACAATGTCTAAATATAAAAAATATTAATTTTTTTTAGAATCAATTCATAAATTATTTGGCATTCCTAAATGGAGATATATTAATCTGTCAAGGATAAAAATGGTTACAACAGTCATGTTACTGCCACTCTAGAGTTGGTTATGAAAACTCATAATAGTAGTACAGATTAAAGCAACTCTAAAATAATTCAGTAACTCTTATAATTTCAGTGTATTTTTTCATAGGCCTATAAAATTAACAAAGAGAAAATTTGTATTTTCTGGCATTTTCAGTCTGGTCAGTCTAGAAATAAACGTTTCTTTGTGTTTCTTCACAAGGAGAGTTTCAATGGTTTCTCTGTCAAATCTGAAGTAAATGCTCCTGACATGTTGAGATCAGACAAAAGAAAATCCTACATTGGGAATGAACATGGCAAAAATAAACTTTTCTTTTTTTTTTCTTTTTTTTTTTTTTTTTTTTTAAAAAGACCCAAATGCCATTTTACAGCATGTTCACAATCACTGGAAATTCTTTCAACCATTTTTATTGAAACATCTCAAATAATCTGGTTAAAATCATTTTTTCTCAAGAAGCAAATGCTATTTTACTATCTGATTACAGTCTTTGTCAAAGTGTTGATTGATACACTTAATATTCAACAGTTTTTGATATTCTTTTTTAATTTCTTCTATTTTTCACTCTAGCTATATATATTTCCTTCTTCAGCATACACACAATAGATATGCACATGCTGATCTGGCTCTTTCAATAGTAATGTAAAGGTTTAATAATATTAGTACACCTTAATAGATTCCACTGGACCTAAAGCTTCTGGTTCCTCAGAAGCTTGTCTTTCAAACAATATCTTTACATTTTATTTCACAAAGAGTAAATACCTAGAGAGTGTTTTAACAGACGATGACACAAAAATCCTAAGGTGCATTGGAGTAACAAAAAATGCCATCCAAAATCTAAAAGTATTCAGGAACTAAGGAAGAAAGACAAGTGTATATAATATCACTCTTCCTATATGGCAATGACGACTGGACAATTACCTGAATGATGCAAAAAAAACTTGGAGCAACAGAGATGGTATTCTACAGAAGGATGGTAAGAATGTCATAGACTGAACATATGAGAAATAAGAAAGTTTTAGAGAAAATAAGGAAACAAAAAGGAAACTTCTACTTAGAATCAGAAGGAGAAAATGAATTTTTTAAGGCACATAATGAGGAAAGAGAGCCTAGAGAATTTGACACTCACTAGACATACTGAAGGCAAAATGGACAGAGGGAAACAGTGAGTAACTTACCTAACAAGATTGTGTAAATGATTGGTAGAACAGGAGGTGTTAGAGATAGTGAAACGATAAAACTTTTTAAGAGCTACAAAGGATAGGAAGCTGTGAAGAGG